CCCCCCGCTCCGCTGGAATGCGTCATTAATGTGTTGCTGTCCTCTCGGGTCCGCTGGCTGTCGCTCGGCGCGCGCAGCTCTCTCTCGCCGCATCGGCCACCATGTCGCAGGACCACAATCGCCCCCCACCCCGTCTCCTCCCCTCCCTAAAGCAAGCACAGCGCTCTCTGATTACGCGACACCTGCGCATTAAATGCACTCAAATGCCATCTTGTACGTTTACGCACAACTAAGCTGTGTATTTCCGCGTAAAAACGCTTAATTTTATGCGCAGCGAAATGCATAAAATCAGCCTCACTGCTCGTCCATACACCTTGTTCCATCACGGAAGTCAATCCGCTCTTCCGACGAGACCCCGACGACCGTCCTGCACCGGAAAATAAAAGAATATATACGATGACGAAGCGATTGTGAAATAATGGGACAGTTGGCTCGACCCGGCCCGGCCTGGCCTTTGACGGGCAATGTGTCAACAGTATGATGCGGGTGACCGCCCACCCCACGAGCCCTGCCGTCAAATCGCCCCTCGTACTCATGCACTCCCCGAGCAAAACAAATATAACAGTAAGTGAATAATTGGAACCGGTGCTAATTTATAGGATAAATAACGCTTAAGGGGCCTAAATGGCTATTGAAAGAACAGTCCATTATTGCTTTTTTCTTGCATGATAATTAAATTATCGTACTTTGCTGTCCAACCGTTTTTCTTTTCTGTTGTGCAGAGTTTTGATTTTTTCCCGCGCGCGTGCATAGCCATTTTTTAACGACAGCATTATGCTTCCCACACAAAAGAAGTGCGCAGACAAAAGCAAACCGCTACAATAACACACTTTCCCTTCGTAAAGCCGACAACCCAACGTTCTTAACATTACACTGACTACACACACACCCTCTCATCTTGCCTTGTCTCTCCCTCCCACCGTTTCTGCGCGAGAGAACGGGGGTCCTGGCGGGGCTGTGAGAGTGAGGTGAGAGGGGTCGGAGTGGGGAGAGAGAAGAAGGCCGGTAATTACTTATTAGCGTCTGCTGGAGAAAGAGAGGGAGAGAGAGGGGGGGGAG